ATGTTTTAACCTTCAAAAATTATCTATTTTAGAATTTTTTCCCAAATTTTTTTTTTTTTTTTTTGGATCATTATATATAAAATCAATAAATTTATATATTTTTCTAAGCTTGAATATATTTTTAAAGTAATGTTCATATGAGTAATTACTCATATTATGTTCTATTTTGTGTAAGTAGGTAAAAATTTGATTCAGATGTACTATTAATAAAACGTCACTAACTATGRTATTTATTAATAAACGATGGTGGTGTTGCGGAAGTAATGCAAAAACATTTCTCACAGCGTCATCTGTTCAAATAGAAAAAAGATTGACACTATGTAATACAGGATGTAACAGAAAGATCTGACCAAAAAAATATGCCAATTCATCGTATGACAATTTTTTTTATATATTATATGATAAATAAATAATTTAAGAAATGTACTCGTTAGCAAATTTTCAAAAATCATATTTTTAAAAAGTTATTGCGTTCCAAATTAGTTTTATCAAAAAAATATTGAATTTAAAAAAAAAATTCTAAAAAATAAACTACTTGACTTAGATAAATCTTTTTACCATCAAAATTGTTTTTATAATCATATTCACAAATAGGCTATTTTGAATTTATCCAACATTTTTTTTTATAAATTAATTTTCAGTACTAAAAAATAAAAAAAAATAAAATGTATTATACATGTAGTGCTAGGTTCAGTTAATGAACAAACAAAAAATACAAATAAAAATGTGAAATTTTAATGTGAAAAAAAGTAATCCAAAAGTCAGTTCTATCTGTTACACCTTGTATATAGATACATTGTTATTTGCATCTATTTATAATTATCAAGGCGCCTCTAAATATTATATATAGGTATWATAATTTTTAATTTTTGATGCAAYATATAKAATATAGCTTGTTTGTTTAAAATTTTGGCATACAAAATGTATACCCAATATCATTGTATATTTGAAAGTTTAGTATGTAAAAAGTGTGATATTATTAACAAAGAATTTGGTGTGACGATCAGTAATTGATTCTTATTTCTAAGAAGGAAAGAAATTATTTATCTAACCATTGACGTGGGATTCTGAAACGTCTTATTGAAAACACTTTTGTGAGTATAAATTACTACAGTGTAATACAACAATAAATACTACTGTTATCTGTAATTCTTAATTTAGATCAACCATTTTGAAACTTAAGTACCTATTGAATAATAATTGAAGTTTTTTCAGACTAGTTTTAAAACAATAATATCAATGTAAGGGGACATTTACTTTAGTTAAGAATTTGAATGCAATATTTTAAATTGTTATAAAGTTTTAAATATTGATTACTTTCAATGTACGTAATGTATAAAATGTATTAGTAATTTTATTTGTAATAAGTATCCAACATAATTATGAAATAAGTGACCTTGCTTTAAAATGCAATTTTAAATTCTATAAATACACTTCATATGGTTCAATTGTATGGAATATATCATACTGTACTGATAGCATACCGTACTGATAGCATCACTCTTTTGGCAGACTTGATGATAATTATAACTAATAATTAACACAATTTCAATTGCAGTAAGGAGTAAAACAATCAAAAATAAACCAAGCTATATAAAAATATTACATAAACTTGTATAATGCAATGTATAGTATAATAATATTTATTTAAAATATTCATGTAATTATCATATTTAAGCAAAAGTAGCACTTGGTTATACAAATACAGTCTTTGAATACTAATAGTAAAAGGAAAAATTGTATTAAATCAATTGAATATTATCATATTATCATATTCATATAGGTATACAATATATTGTAATATATAGTATATTTATAATGTGATGTTATATAATATTATTAGCCACTTTGTAATAATGTTAATGTATTTATTATTCAAACAACAACAAACTAATAAATACTATTTTAATAGTAGAAAGAATTTAAAATAAATATTTATGTATTGATATTTTTGAGATATGAAATTATGAATACCTTATAGAAAAAATGRTAATATCTTAACTTCTGGGATGTTAAAAGTTTTAACCTTTTTTTTTTTWAATTTAGTTTTTGATTATCGTTTTTAAAAACATTTTTCTGTATCATTTCAAAATAATGTTTATGATAATTATTTTTTCTAATTTTATTGTTAAAATTAAGTATCTTTTATATTTGAACTGAAATTATGAATCCTAAATAAAATTTGTATAAAAATTAAGAATTTTAAAGTTTTTTAATTTTTAGAGTGCAATAGTAATGTGAAATACTAGTTCTATATTAAAAATTAAAAATAATCTTGATCCCAGAAGATTAACATATTATTACATGAAATACGTCTAAAAATCAAAATGTTGCTCTTAAACATTGTAACAATAAAGTTTTACTTAACAAAATTATTAATATTTTTTTCATCAAGGTTTAATTTATTTTCGTTTTTGATTTGATTATTTTTTTTAAAAACGATTTCCATCTGTTAAATTTTGAATAAAACACATACTTATACGATATACTCCTATTAATATCTCTTAAAACTTCATTAAAACAATATAATTATTAATTATTAATTATACAGGAATACAGGATTATTTATGTGTGACGAAATCTAATTTTCTTATTTTTAAAACCTTGAAAAATGAATACATTATGCTTAAAAATTATATTACATACACCTATGATATAAAATTTCATAAATAAAACAAATTTTAAGTTGAATTAAATAATAATTTATTTGTATTACTTTCACTATAAACTAAATTGCGTTTTGCCGCACTTAATTTTGCAACTCGATAAACTAGTTGATACCTACAGGTTTGATTTAAATTTTCACAATTTCAAATAAATTATTTATTCAGGCGTAAAATTATTTTTTTGTTAATATTATAGATAAATATATAAACAGGGGATTTTAACTTCTATATATATATTTGCATACGATGAACTTCATGTATTGTTTTATACTCTTCGTATAAGTAGAATAGATTTAAATATTGAATATTGATGATATACGAGTTACCTTCCTTACATTATACTGAAATAGGTACATAAACCTTGAGCACATTTTAGAAATTTACCTAGTATTTAATTCTGATTTGGTTTCGATATCCAATAAAAATGCATTAAAATAATATTAATTATTAATTTACTTACTACTTTTTAYTATCTATTGAAAAACAAAATCCMTGATTATTTTAGCTATTCTCATACCATTTGATTGAGTACAAAGTTCTACACTTTGACAATACATTTATAATTGTTTTTGAATTATAGTTGGCTGATATATTATGATTTAAGAACGAGTCGTTAAAATTAATTATTTTACCATTCTCTGCGATGATATTAATGAAAAAAAAAGAAAAATTATAGTTTAATCGTTTGATTTATACTATAGTGACTAGGTACATAAAATTTGATATCATATAATAAATATGTTATATTTTTCGTACGTCGTATAAAGTGTTACAACGTTACTGAATACTAAATTACTTTATAAAAGTTATAGTTTCTGTATGGAAAATAAAGTAGGTGATGATGGACCGCATTTATTCATTACCCCCACACTATTATCGGTTTGATTCGTTAAATCGTCAATTATCTCCTAGAATATGATAATTTACGTAATATTACACGAACGGCGCTACTGATTGAAAGAGGCGAAAATAAGAATAAGGAGGAGAAGTATGAGTACAAGGTGGCTGAGGAGGAGAAAAAATATATTTTTTCCGTCATTTCGTTTGGGATCCATTTTTACACTCGGTTCAGAGTTCACTGCTATACTACCACCACTACTCGAGAAGCCATACTAGTGATATTAATATGTATATAATATTTAATCAAACTACACTAGGTTATAATTGTTGCACCAAATAATTATTGTGGGCTGCCGTTGTTTGGTACATTCATCATTGAATTCAGGCCTCCTTATCAGTACGTCATAATATCTTGTCACTATTAATTTGTACGTTAACGCACTTATACAATGTCGAGAATTTATAAACGTAAACAAATGGTGTGGACAAAACCGGTCGTCATTTCAAAACCATTCACTAACCTACCATTAATCAGTGTTACTGCTAGACGTGTTAATTTACACTTTGTACTACCTACTGCAGTATTATAGCGTGTTCGTTTTCGTATTGGCGGTAGGTACATTCAGAGTTTCATTTGTCTTAGTGACGATCGCTGCCTTTTTTATAATACGTGTAAAATATGATACCCAGTAAATGAAATAGGTCTTAATAGTGTATTTTGTGTATAMATTTTGAAAAAATTAAAAAAATTAATTTAATTTAAAATCAATTTCTTTAACTTTGTATAATATTATTATTTTGTCGACGAACGGTGAAGGATAAAAATCATATACAAGTTCTTGTAACGTTATATATATATTTTTTTTTATCGTTTTTATAATACCACCCCGCAAGTTACGTTTTAAAACTTTTTAATCACACTTTTTACTGCACAACAATGCCTCTGAGATCCGAACTCGCGAAAGAGGAGGAACTCATTTCCTCGGTGGTATCATCAAGCCTGGCCAGGTGTCATTTGTCTGATTGCGAATTGATGTGTTTTTTTAATATGGAAAAACACAGAAGTAACGCGAGGGAAAACTCTCACAGGTAAATAAAAAATAATATTTTTTTCTCTGATTGTGCATAATAATAATAATGTTTGGCGTAATAATAAACTTAATTATATATGACTATAATTTAATCATTATCTAACTGATTGATTAATTCTGTCCAAAAACGAATATATTGTTGTTGTATACCTACTAGTTTAACTTAACTGTTATGTAACTTTCTCGTAAGTTTTTTCATTTATTTTGTAAAAATCTTTAAAAACTGTTACATAGTTTTTAAAAATGTAGAGTAAATTTATTTAAGTTATTGCCGTCCTGGCAAACTATACATGTATATACCAATACGTACATAATGTTATTTATGAATACAATTTAGATCTCGCATACTATATATAATTACGACACATAATTTAAAATATACATATTAAATCAGAATTGTTTATATTTAAATCGTACGCACCTGATTTACGAGTACAGTCGAGTATATTATTATTGTTGGTTTTATAATAATATGAAAGTTCGTGAGTTGTGATTTTTGCGTTTATTATTCTTGTCAATCTTTTAATGTTTAAATATTTATAGATCGTCAAACTATTAGTGAATTAAATTATTTAAACCGAGAAAAGGTCATAAATTATTATTCTGTGTCTGAAGTGATCGTTTCACGTGACGTTTTTTAAAATTAGTATAAGTATTAATTTTTTAATTTACACGTCTGCTAGTTCTTAATTTTATAATTTTTTTTTAAATTTATATTATGAGAATCTGCATAATTACGTGGAATTAAATGCAAACCTTTGTTAGAGACTGACCTAAAGGGTACCGATTGATTAGATAACGTGTACTACGTGATTTGAGCGGTCTTGCTCGTGATTTGCTTAAAAGGTTTTCCGATTAATAATTTTTAATTATATTTGACCCTTATTTGGTATCTTCAAACTAACATTTGAAATAAGATTTATGTAAAAAATCAATTATCTAAAATTGTAATAATTATATTCTTTCTCGATAAATATTTTTATGGGCGCCAATATTTGATATAGTATTTTAATATTTTGTACAACTCTATTGATATAGCGTATATAAAACATAATCTCTTCATTATTCTAACTTTAATAATTATTGATTGTTCAACACAATGTGTTATTATTATTTTATCAATGTATAATTTAAATAATATTTATACTTAGTTTTAATTCACCCTTCAACACAAAATAAATATTAATAACGCGTTACAATTTTACAAGGGGCATAATAAAACTGTATAGGAAAATATGCATATTATAAAAGATTATTTTAATTACTCGTTTATCTTGCAATGGTAAGTTTATATATATAGTACTTACCTATATTATTCAAAACGATTTGTATTAATTTGAATAACATTTGACTAATAGACACACTAATTTTAAAATTCATAGTTTATTTATTGATAATTATGATTTGTCCTTTTATGTTATCTTAATAGTCTGTTAATGTTTTAATTGAGATATGCATATATGAATGGTCGATAAATTTATCTTTCTTGGAATTTAGAAACGAGTTAATCATTTTGATAAGTTTATTATTTTGATACTACCAACGATATCTTATATCTATATATTCTATCTTATATCTAAATATAAATTGTAATTTAAATAATATACGTATATGTAATATTAATTTATAGTTGTGTAACAAATATTCAAAATCTTTAGGCGAAAAGATAAAAAAATTTATATGGAATCATTTGTTCAGAATTTTAWTTAGATGTGTTTAATGTTAATAAAACAAATACTATTTAAATTACGCTTTAAAAAATTAAAAACCATAGCTTAATATTTTTAAATTTATTATTCATAGAATCTAAAMATTTTTTTTAAAGCGGTAGGTATAGCTCATAGAAATTCAACTAACAAGTCAAGTATTAACTGCAAAATCTCCAATATTTTACAAAGAAATGTTAYTTCCGTTCGTTTATTTGACTTATATTTCTAGTACATGTTCCTAGAAATAGATTAATAATGTAGGTTTTAAAGTAGGATGTAAATTTGATTGAAATTGRAGCCTATTCAAAACACGTGTATTACGCTTTAAAATGATTGTGGAAAAAAATAATCAATGATAAATAATAATTTTACCTCTAAGGTCGATAGTAAATTTCTCAATTAATTCTTATATTATATTTTTGCAGTACCTATAATACAGTAATTTATTATAATAAATGAATGATAATTTGTTTGACACGTCGATGCCTAGAAACGTTTTTCTTATAACAATACTCGTTTTTTTTCTGATTTTTTAAACGGTTGCAACTATAAATATTTATCGTTTCATTTTCAATCTGCTCAAATAATAATGTGTATAAAAACATTAAAAACAGTACCTACGTAAAATATAATAATTTTTTTTTACAATCGATATTTTAATCTGTCATATAAGTTGATAACTAATAAGATACCTACATAGAGATACTAATATAAGTATGTATGTATGTATGTATKAATAAAAATAATTAAATAAATAAAAAAGTACATGCATAATTTGATTTTGTAAGTAGTTAATTATTACGCTCAAAATGTAAAATATATTGCTCAAATTGTGGTTAAACTTAAATATCTGAATTTGAGTAGGAAATAGACTCTTGCAATAAAWATAAAATTTTGGGGAGTGAGGTTGTATAAATTTCAAGTGCACCTTGTATAATTTAGTACGTTTACATGGTGATGTTTTAAAACCACAGAAACTCTTTCTTGATGATAGTAAATACAATTGTTCATGGATTTAAATCTATTTTAACTTTTAACGTCACCACGTAGTTATTGAATATAGTTCATTCGAATGAATGTGTTAAAATTGAATTCTACAAAAAAAAGATACTGACCATTAACGCGGTTCTATTTCCAAAAATAGGTACTTTAAAAMGTACTTATTTAAATAACTATATATTTTTTCTTTTGTATTTCCGATATTTTTAATTGTCATAAAAACAACTATACAACTTATGAGTTATGCTTATGAGAAACCTTGTGCTACTTTTTCAAGTTAGCAAAATGTTTATCATCATTTGTGGAAGAAAAAAGTCAGAATTTAAAATGTGTATAGAAGTTCAAAAACAAAGCAAAATATTTTATCTTGTTAAGAATATACTAACATAAATACTTTGTGAAAATTATAAGTCTATTAATTTTTGATGCTCAACAAAATAACGAAATTTTATTGTAGTGTAGCTACTGGTACTGTTTTCCTAATATATCCCGTAAATATTCACATTTTTCATATTTGTAATTTGTTTAGGTTTTCCCCGTTAAATGTAGTGTAAATTTTTTTACTTTTGACTCCCCAAAGTCAGTAGCCCTCTTTATTAAATTTGTTACTAGAGGACAAAAACCATCATCAATTTGAAAGTTATCTGATATGAAAAGTATCTTTTGACACAAAAAAAAAAAATATTCGGAGTCAAGATAATCACATAATTTGTCACCTAGCTCAGAATATAATCTTGACTTTCTAGAATCTTACCATTTATTTAAAGTTGAATAAATATTTTGACAAAAAAATAAAATGTATGATATTTGTTTAAGTAAAGTATAAAAAAAACACCTTAACGTTATACCCGCATGGGTTGTTTCCGTCTTACAAGTGCGTAACATAGCAAATTTTATGCTCAACAGCTACGTTAGTATTGGCCTCTTATAAAAATTAAAGGTAATATTATCATCGAGGGCTTCTCATAGGCTTTTTATTACATTTTAATTTTAAAGTTATTAAGATTATTTTAAGATATACTAACAATTTACAATTTTAAAGTACACATAAYTCTCTTTAAAATTAAAATATAATAAAAAACCCACGAGAAGCCTTCGATAATAATGTTACCTTTAATTTTTATAAGAGGCCGTATTCACTCTAAATTTTTAACTCACGGAGCTTTTTTTWAAAATTATTTATAAAGTTTTCCTGACAAAGTCATCTAAACTTAGGTATAATAATGTATAAAATGTTTAGCTATTTATAAAAACGATATTAACATAATATGTGGTAAATAACTAAGTTAACAAATTAGTGATATACATTAATAGATTTAAGATAGTGTTACAAGCAATGAACGATATACAATAGAATTAAACTCACGGAGGCGGAGCTAAACGTATTCTGCTGATCATAAAAATTGCTATGTTACGCACTAGTAAGACGAAGACAACACATGCGGGTATAACGCTCTCTTAACGTTTAATTCGATTTATATGATACTATAATATATGACTTTCATTTTTCTTTAGGGTAGTAAAACGAGAACTTTTCAATTATTAGTAAACAATTCGATTTTTTGATTTCGTAAAATATATTCATTAAATGTGTATTAACGTTGTTAATTATTATACACGTCTGACACGTTTGTCGATTGACATATTGAGTTTCTAATTTTTTTTTCTATTGTAATTTATGACCACATACAAATGTTGATTATAAATTCATTATTAAATTAAATATAACGCAATGCTTCTATAAATTAACTTCCTTTTGAAATATTTTTTTCTTTTATCATTATCAATTTCTTAATCTTGTCTATCAATGGAATTTAAACATAATTTGTCATGTATTAATTCTTTTAATTTTTCAGGACATAACAATTAATCTACTTGTTTTACTAGATACACTCCTAAATAGCGAAMAATACGATAATTATTTAATATATAACAGTGTAAATATTGTAGTGTATATTAGATTTGTATATTATATTAATTTTTAGCGGTTTGCCTAGTATAACGTTTTTGTATTTTAATTAGGTAGTTTAGGCAGTATATAGTATATACCCAAAACTTATTATTATTTGTTTTTACTATACTTAATATTATAAAATTGCCTATGCCTCCCCAAAATGTATGTTTTGTCACATTCTGAAATAATATCACTTTCATCTTGATGAAAATAATAAAGCTAAGTCAGCACTTTAACGTTATTATCTTGACTAAGAAAAAAATACTACTTAATGAAAACGATGTGACGTTAAATATACCTTTAGAATCGTGTACTTGTACTTAGTGTTTACGTAGG